CTCTCTCTCTCTCTCTCTCTCTCTCTCTCTCTCGACCAGTATTTTTTTGGCTTATTCTCAGGGTGTAGGAAAATGACCCCTAAGTATTCAAATTGCAATATTTGTATAATACTCTACATTAATATTAGACGCTAAATATTGCAATTTGAATACTTACAATACTTGAATACTTGTTAGGGGTCATTTTCCTACACCCTGAGAATAAGCCAAAAAAATACTGCTCTCGACCGACACAGACATCGAGTTGTTATTGATTGTCAAAGTCTAAAGAGATAATGTATTAAGAGGTCAATTGAGATCACGTGTTATCTGTGGCCACAGATTAACTCTGTGTTACTACGAGATAATTGTATTTCAATTATGACATAGAGTTATATCTGTGGATCAGTTTATTCGTCTATTAAGTGATTATCTCTTTGAATGTCTCGATGACTGACAGATTGATGACGAGATGTGTTGTGTCTCTCTATTCATCTAATTTGTAGTACTTTTGTATGATTTGATTGACAATACGCTAATACTTTGTCTGTTTTTGTCCAATGGATCAGATCCTGGCGGCGACGGCGGCGCGTCGGCTGTCAGTACTTGATGTGGAAACTGGTCAGCAATTGATGTGTTACGACAACTGTGCCTTCAGTGGCCGGGAAAGGGCAGCGCTGGCCACTGACCCCATCTGTCCACACCTGGCCGTGTGCTCATGCGTTAACGGCAAAGGCCTCACATTATTTGATCTCCGAATGCCACTGCCTTTAGATTTTATATACGATGTGAGTCTTCGGCGTTTGTCCGCCTTTTGTGAATCAATGAACTGATTGTCTCTTTTGACACAAACAGTTACATCCAGACGTGATTCGGGACATAACATTCCTCCACAACAGTTGGCCATTCGTTAAATCACATCAAAGTGCACTTCTGTCCCTCTCATGTCAGGGCATCGTTAAGGTATGTGTCCTCCAAAACACACGTATGTCAGCCGCAGAGATGTCTTATTTAATGCAGTAATGAATTGGTAGTTAGAACTCGAAGAATATATGGTTTTTTGCTTATGATTATTAGTGTATTATCTTTTATATCATACCATTTGCCGTAAGAATACAAACCACTAATCAGTTAAAGTGATAATGAATTTGTCAATTACGACACCGATGTTTGTTAGGCGACAACACTGGACGGTCGGTTCCTGCACTGCTTCGAAGTCGGCCATCCGTCCAATTCAGTGGTTCCCACACCCGAAGAGTACGGGTCGGCGCTGGACGACGGCTTCTCGTCGGTGATGATGGTCGGCGGCGCCTCTATATCCAGTTATATACCGGAGTCCGGCATTCAGGAGAGGCAACAGTTGTCGGACTTCAGTTCGCAACAGATCTGGAAACTCCGTTACTCGAGTAACGGCAGTATACTATACGCGGCCGGCGATGGCGGTGTCATCAGACGCTACCGACGGTATCCCAACTATCATAAGTGTTTGGGCGAACTGTTCCGCCATAAGGGCGACGTCCAGGACATGGATATATCGCCGTATGACGAATGTATGTGCGCTTTGAGTTGAGTTGTGTTTTGTGTTTAATATCTGTCATTGTTTTTGCAGTTTTGGTCACCGCTTCCAAAGACAAAACCGTTGGTCTCATTTGTTTGGGTAATTGTCGGCATTTTTATTGATTTATTGATTGACTATTTTATTAACGGTTTATTAATTGTATTATTATTGTGTTTTGCGTACGAAAAGGTGCCCCAAATCACGGATGGACCCAATATTGTGAGCTATCGTGACATCAATCAGTTTAAGTCCATTAAACACAACAAATTTTTCAGATTTATTATTAAATCGAAATTAGACTCAAATTATATACAAAATAATTACGAAATGAAAACGAAATTCACATCATTTTTGTTGATTTGATTGACACAACTCTTCACTCTTTCTCAATATATCGCAAACAAAAACGATATGAAAACTAAAGTAATAATTATTGCGACAGAAATGAAGAGTTAAAATCAAAGCCTAAACGAAAATCTATATCATATTTATTACATAAAAAACAAATCAATATTAATTAGTTATTATTTAATCAAATAATTGTTTATTTTCAATACATATTTAACGAATGCATATTTATTATGTGTTATTATAATTTAATTGATTATTATTTAAATTAATACACTTTACGTTAATTTTAAACCAATTTAATTAATTATGCGTTTATTTTCAATTGAGTGCAAAGAGAGGGGAGAGAGAGAAATGTGTTGACAGACAGCAAAGCCCTATTGTATATGATTTTAAATGTCTCTTTATTTTAGTTGAGTTTATTATAAAAACAATATTTACCGAAACACTCATTAAGAAAAAGCCAATTATATTATTGAAAACCAAATTAAAATTATTTTGTATAAAATATTTTATAATTTTGGCCTCAATTTCAATGTGACCTCAGCTTTCTTTAAGCACTCGCACACACGACAGACCCCCTAATCGCTACCCTTTTCCCTCTCGAACGGCACCCAAATGTATATCCCTTTCATGTGTTAGTTTTTCAGACGTAAAGTTAGTTAAAAATTATATTAAGTTATTATTAATATTATTATAATTATAATTATTATCAGTTATTGCTTTGATTAAACATATTTTATTGAATTGAATTGATTTGCTATTCGAGTGAATATTTATATCAAGAATTATGTGACCGAAAGACAAGACATAACAACAAAACACAACACAAAAACAAAATCCAATTTATATTTAAATATATTTTCAATCTGTAAGTGAATTGTGATCTTTTAGTCTAAATAATTGGATATTTAAATGAAAAACAAAAAATAAATAACTTATAAATGAATATCAAATTATAAAAATATATATATGTATATAAATATATGACAAACGAAACAAATCTTTATTTATATGCAATTATTAGACATAAAATATCAAACATTACGTATAATATTACTAACGATTTACAACTGAAACAACAAATTAATTAAATCAAATCAATTTTGTGAGTAATGGTTATAAAATTACATTATATTGTAATTGCATTACTTGTTACGTGAAATGAATAAAATTTTATACATAAATAAAAAACAAATTCATAATAAATAAAAATTTCAATCATTTGAACAAATATTTTTCTTGTTTAAGTAATCGATATTTTGTAAACATGTAAATTCTGCTTGATAGTAATATAATATGTTAATTGGTTAATATTATAGATATTTAAATAGTTTCAGGTAGTTTAACCCGTATTCAAGTTATTTTCTATAATTTATATTAATATATGATTATAATTTACAAACGTATTCAGTATACAGTATAACGAATTATAAACCCAATGGTTAGCGCTTAAAATAAATGAAAAATAAAAATTAATTGCATTATTATTTGGGTTAACGTAGAACTCGGCCACACATTAAGTGTAATAAAAAATATAAGGCAATTAAATGGCAATAATAATTATATATAGTATTGTTATGTAATGTCTGTGTCTATCAATCCATGGGATTCCCGTCAGAGCACCACTCCTTCATCTCATACACCAATAGGTTTGTGTCAGTCCTTACATGAGATGGGATTTAACTGTTTCATCAAATCGTTAGATATATAAAAGTGTTTCGGATTATAAAAGTGATGGAAAATTCCTGTTAAGACATTGAAATTAATTTATGATAAAATTTGTCATTAAAATGCAGACAAACAATTGTATTACACAATAATATCCGGTACATGTCATCGTTGTAGACGTGTTGGGCATTTATGTTGACATTTATAGTTGTTTTCTCGCATCAAATGTTTGTATTTTGAGGATTAGTTAACTCACGTCCCCTTTGATTGCGTTTCCTCATGAAGTAATAGACGACAATCACTACAACTACGGCCACAACTATCAGCAAAAGCCATGCCTTTCCCATAATTAACTGATTTGGAAATTGGTTTAAAACTCAGAGAATTTGCGTAAAAATATTTCACACACAATACAAGCGCACACAATATCCAATCACAAACTATTTAAACTTGTAAAACAAATGTCAAATTAAATGACCAAAAGTATATTTTGTTTACAAAAATGGGCATTAAATGTAATCTTGATGTTATGTCTGGCGTTGAAGTGGATTTGTGGCTAAACTGAAATATAATTTTTTGTGGGATAACTATCGACACAGAGAAATAACAAGAAGTTAAAAATATACTCGTAATAAGTTATGTTTGTCGCAGACATATATGAGTGAAAAACCAGTTTTTGGTGGCGTGTGTGGGCGTCTTCAGCACCTGTATCTGTATCTGTATATTATATGATATTCCGTCGATTTGTTTCACTTTCAGTAACTTTTTAAACACCAGAATATATATCGCTTTGACTGTAATATTCAGTACTGGCTATTCATAGCACCGACAGTCGATTGCCAGGAGCTTTGACTTTGAATTAAAAGGCATTCAATGAGTTTACTAAATATTAATTACAATAAATATTATGCCAAATAATTATATGATGTCAACAAATATACTGCATATCATAGCATCTCATGAATATTTGCTAAATGTATTGCTCAACATATCCTAATTTAAACAGTTCTTGAAATTGTTCGCATAGTTAGAAATTAAATAAATTCATATTTTATATATTTTTTATAATTTAAATGATTTGAAATCATAAGTAATTTTTTCGTTAACAATAAAATAATACTTATAATGATTATGTTTTTGGCCAAAACTAGGATCCATTGGGCGAGTGTCGGCAGTTTACCCAACTCTCTGTCGCCAATCAATTGGATATACTGTTGGACTTTACCGAAGGTGTGGGCGTCCAGTGCTATACTGTTTACATAATTATCTCATTGATAGATATCTTTATATATGATTCCTCGACATTATAATAAAACTAAATATTTGATAATGATTTACAGCTAATTAACATTGGAAATGGAAATTAGATTTAAACATTGAGAAACTACAAAACCATGAGTTCACATAAAAACATCAGTTATTTTATTAATCATATTTAAAACAAATATTTAGGCAATTTTTAATACTAAATGTAATAAAATAAACTAAAAAAGGATTAAATATAATAAATATACAAAATTTAAATAATTATTTACTAAAACTTTTTCAATAAATTTCATTTTCATTGATCTAAAACAATATTAATTAACATTAATTAAATCATTAGTTTAAGATTTTTGGACAATAGTTGTTAAACATTTATTACATTTTTATTTTGATTAAAACTCCTTCTCATTGTTTATACGGACTTAACTGTTATTTAGTTTAAACTTCTGGACACCAGACCATAGAAATAATTATCTGAGAGATCATCGCTTTTCTTGCCGTTAAGGACGAGTGCTTTGAGCGCCGGTAGTGTTGAGATATTATCCAAATACTCGGTGACAATCATAGTATTGTATTCAACAGTATTAATATGTATTGAGAAGTCTCGTATCCATAGATATTGAAGTTGTGGCCACTGTTTGTCACAACTTTTAAAAAATTGGCGATATATTGGACAAAAATCAAGTGATATGTGTGTTAATCGGTGACAGAATCTCAAGGGTTGCAGTACTTTAGGGCCCCATAAGTTCCAATACCCAACCCATCGTAAATGCAATCGTTTTAAGTTATAATAATATCTCAATGAATCCAATGTCTGCTCATTGAGAGAGTGATTGAAATAATTCATAACGAGTGAAAATCGTTGCAATTGTTTGCAGTTTATGCCAATTGTACGCAAAAACTCAGGCAAACTGCCGTTCACTCGATATAAATCAAGTCTCAGTTCCCGTAATTGTCTTAAACGTGACAATTGGACACACATTTCGTTTAAATCAAATCTTGCATTAATGGACACACTTTTGAGGGACTCATTCCCGGCGATGAATGTCGACAACAGCTGTTGATTGTTTAAATCGGATCTGATATCAAATGTGTGTAAATTCTTCGCCAATAATTGTCCGGAAGTGGTGTCAAAAACATCTCGTAATTGTTTAACACTTAGTCGCGATAATTGGTTGCAATGAATGAGTGATTGTTTGGCAGAAGAATCGCAAACATAGATTCGTGAGACGAGTAATCCATAAGTGCATTGCAATCCATTCACATATCTAGACATCCATTCACCACTAATTGGCCCTAAATTACAGTAAATGTCTCGCAATTGGACTCCAAATGTGTTGACAACTTCGGGAATGAGATCCAAAAACACGAACAGTTGGTTAAAGTCGAGGCGCATAACGTTTGGACATTTGATGGCAATTGTGGCCAACATATGAGACTTGAAAGTAGTTCTCATAATTCTCATAAGTCTATTGTTAGGAGTGATGTCCACAACAGAGTCGAATACTGTCCTCTGGAACTGTTTGGACACCGCTTCCAAACGGAACCGATCTTCAAATGCGAGATATGTTAGCAAAAGTGCAAATAAATCGTCACCAAATCGATCCAAAGACTCTCTCGCATATCGTTTTGGCTAAAATGTGAGACAAATATAATTAAAACTCAATTAATACTTAATTTTATATCAATTATAATACAGTATATAAGGCATACCTTTTGTGTGGAGTTATCTTTTTTGCCGTCTTCTGCGGTATCGAGTGATGTCTTCGTTGATATCATGTTTTGTGACATATCTTAAGATGTGATGAATTGATTGTCCAAAACGTTTGATTCAAATTATATTTAAATATTGTCTTCAATTTGATGTCAAATTAAAACTGATGTCAAAAACAATGCTTTGGTTTGAATGAAACACAAGAGTAAATGACTTGAAATAAATAGTTTTAAAAACTTATAAAACAAATCTAACGAGAATTGTCTGTACTGTGAGACCGGTGTAAGCGTTAATTCCTAACATTTCCACAATAATTGCATACAAACTGCACTATTATTGTAGTCTTAAAGACTATAAATTCAATTGTATTTTCAACTATTTAATAGATAATGAAAAATACAAACAACTCGAGTATTAATATCATAAATGAGTGTTTGATTGAATGTATTAAACGTGATATAATTTCCAATGTACTGTATTTACAATACACTCACACGAGAGACACTAAATACCTGATTAAACATTCATTATCCCTATCTATTGATTGACAAACTCTTCATAAAAGAAAGAAAGAAAGAAAGAGAGAGAGAGAGAGAG